TTTTTTCGTGTATAAATCTATTAAAATCCTACATCAGAACATAGATGGCTTAATTAATAAAGCCGATTTATTGACGGTTTGTTTGGATGATATGGAATACATAGGTAAACGTATAGACATATTATGCTTTACAGAACATAACATGGTACCTGATGATATCTGTTTATTACGAATACCAGGTTTTATTATTGCTGCGTCCTACACACGTAACAGTAGAGATGGTGGTTCCTGCATATTAGTTCGAAATGGTCTAAAATTTGAAGTTATCACAAATATTATAAAGTTAAATATACCTAATGTTTTTGAATGCTGTGCGATAGAATTGATTGACCATAAAATAGTAATTCTGTGTGTATATAGAGTACCGAAATGTAAAGATGTTACAAGAAATTTTCAGTCATTTTTGAACCATTTTGATGATGTTCTAAACCTAATTATATCTAGTAACAAAAACAAGATTTTAGTATGCGGAGACTTTAATGTAAATATTTTAAAAAAATCCAAATATACCACCTCGTTTATCCAGCTGATCGAGAGCTATAATCTTAAATTATCAGTTAAAGAGCCCACAAGACCCAGAAGTGGAACATGTTTAGATAATGTTATTCATAATAGACGCGGTGGAAAAACTGAACTTTGTGAATTAGCTCTTTCGGACCATAAAGCACAACTCATGACATGCCCAGTTAAGCAAACCTGCACATATAATTATTGGTTCTACATGAAACGAAACTATTGTCAAGAGTATCTCGAAAAATTTAGAAAATATCTAATTAAATTACCTTTTGCAGAAGTTTACGATACTCAGGACGGACAAGAGGCTTTCTCTAGGTTCTATGATTTATTCAAATTACTTTATGATCTATGTTTTCCAATAGTCAAAGTGAAATTTAGGACAGAAGTGCGACCAAAATGGCTCTCTAGGGGCATTAAAAAATGTAGTAAGCGTAAACGATCGCTTCTGTGGCGATATAGATTAACAAAAAGTTCCTCCGATAAGCAAATATTTAAATTATATTCAAAAAGATACAGCCATATAATTAAGTTAACTCAAAAATCGCAAAACAATCATTACATATATACATCGGCAAACAAATCAAAGGCAACATGGGATATCATCAATAATAACAAGCAGATAAATCCAAAGGCAACAGTAAGTAAAATCGTAGTAAACGGAATATGCATCACAGATCCAAAAAGCATAGCTCAAATATTTAATGATAATTTCATTGACCAGGTAAAGACACTTAAACCTTATAGAACAGTGTTTAAAAACACGTGCAATTTCAATTCCCCCAAATCTTTTTCTATGAAACCCACTGATCACTTTGAAATATGTCAAATCATTAGAAATCTAAAAAATACTTGTAGTACTGGTGAAGATGAAATATCCACAAAAGTGTTAAAGTATGTATGTGATATTATTTCCCCTCCTTTAAGCTACATTATAAATCAATGCATTGAACAAGGGATATTCCCAAGAGAGTTAAAAACGACAGTAATAAAACCTCTCTACAAAAAAGGTGATAAGGGCGAATTAGGGAACTATAGGCCAGTTGCTTTAATTCCAGTAATGTCCAAGATTTTCGAAAGAGTAATATTTAATAACCTATACTCATATCTAGAAAAAAATAATATATTGATAGACCAACAGAAAGGCTTCCGTAAGAATAATTCCATCAATTTGGCTATATACGAATTTCTTGATAAAATATATTCTAGGATGGACAGAGGTCAGCCCGTTTCATCATTATACATGGATTTAACCAAGGCATTTGATTATGTAAATCATAACATGCTTTTGCATAAATTGTGGGTATACGGTGTAAGAGGCAATGCCCAGGAACTAATAAAATCCTACCTTAAAAATAGACTTCAGTCAACACACATTAATAAAGTATGTCCCGTATCGAAAATTGAGAAGTTTTATGCATCATCACAGAGAATAGTAAGTCAAGGAGTACCTCAAGGTAGCGTATTGGGACCATTGTTATTCTTAATATACATAAATGACATTTCTAAATCAATTAACGACCCTATGATATTGTTTGCGGATGATTGTACGGTAATTTATGACAATGAAACCAATATAAATACAAGTTTGAACTCTATTATTGAATGGCTTAAATATAATGATCTAGTTATAAATCTTGACAAAACTAAAGTTATGAACTTTAAACAAAGACACAATAAACCTATGCAAACTAGAGTGGTCTATGAAAGCAAGGAGGTCGGTGAAACAATGACAGTAAAGTTCTTAGGTTTATATATAGATAATAATCTAAAATGGCAAACACACCTAGAATATGTATGTGGTAAGATACTAAAGTTTTCTTATGCATTGTTTAGGCTATCGAAAATAGTAAATTTAGACGCTCTAGTGACCGCCTACCATGGTTATGTAGCATCCAACCTTAGGTATGGAATCATTTTTTGGGGAAATGCACCACACATTGAACGCATATTCAAAGCCCAAAAGAGATGTATTCGGGCTATATGCGGCTTGAAAAAAACTATAGATAGCTGTCAACCACATTTTAAAAATTTGAAAATACTGACTTTACCATGCTTATATATATTTGAAATTTCACTTTTCGTAAAGCGTCATCTTCATTTATTTGAATTCGTCACACGAGCCCGCCGTTCTCATCAACTGAAAAGTAGATCATGTAAAACTGCTCTACTTCAAAAGAGTGTAATAGTAATGGCTACGAAGGTTTATAACAAACTTCCACTTGAAATTAGGAATTGCAACGATTGTGCAGAATTTAAGAAATTATTATTTAATTACCTAAATGATTGGACATTCTATAATATTGAAGATTTCTTATAAAATTTACATTTCATATTATTAAATTTGTTATTTATTATTTTACTATTGTTATTATGTTTCATTAGTAATAGGTTGCATTAATTGGACTGCATGATTATAATATTATTACAAATTATTGCATGAGAATTACTAAAATTAAGAAAACTTTGTATGCCATAAGGCGGATCACAGTGATTCAAAATTCATTCTTGTAACAACTTTATAACCTGTGTATCACAAAGAAATAAATGATTTGATTTGATTTGACAATCGAAAATCTGATTATCTGGGATAGTGTTTTTTTCAGTTTCGTGAATTTAAGTCGTATCCTAATTATTATATAGTTTTCATCAAAAAAAGACACAAATTCGTGTTATTTTATTAAAACAAAATAATATTATTCTTTTGTTATAATAATAATAAAGAAACTAATAATATTATTTTGGTTTCTTATGAAAATTCTTATGAATATTATAAAATAACACGAATTAATTTTTTAAATAAGAATATAATAAGAATCTTCTGAAATATTTCTGAATAAATCCGAAGATTCTTATTAAATAGGAATAAGAGTCTATATATCAACCATATAATTTTAATGAAGATAAACTGGTTGTGACCTGGTAGGACCAGCCTCTTATTATTTTTTTGTTTTCCATTTTTCAGATCCCCGGACAGAAAACTGGATTTTAATGTCCGGTCCAGGACCTCTGCTCACCATTTTGGCCACATACCTGTACTTTTGTACGTCAGTTGGTCCCAAGTACATGCGAGACCGGAAGCCTTATGATTTGAAAAATACCATGATCTTGTACAATGTATCGCAGATTTTGTTAAGCATTTGGTTAGTCTATGAGGTACGTGTATCTTTTTACTATGAACATAAATGTTGTGTTAGTATTTAAAGTTATTTGTATGAACTTTCTTTCATATTCGTAAGGTCCACTGGTTCGTTCCCTGGCTTAGTTGGCATAGCGTCTGGCACGGTTTGCTAGAAGACGTCGGTTCGCATCCGGCCGGATCGAAAGACGTTTTTTTAAGTGTTCAAATTTTGTTAGTAATAATTATAACAAACTAATGGAGTAATTTTTCTGAAAATATTTGAATATCACGGTGGTAGAACATAGCGACATTCAATAAAAACTTTAAATATTTATTTCATATTGTTGTTTAAAGAACTAAGTTCAACTAATAATTCGAACTTCGGTGACAAAGGAACTTGTTTGTTATAATTATTAATACAAAGATCAAACACAAGGAAAAATTTCTTCGATCTAACAGAACGATTAGGCGTCACGCTTACCACCAGGTGCACGATTTGTCCGTCCCATCACTTGGTATTATAAAAAAAATCGAACCTGGGTCAGGAGTGAAGAAAACCTTTCATGGATTGCTCATAGGTAAACACTACGGCAAAAAAGCCGTTAAACGAAACAAATCATCTGTAACTAACGTGTAGAGAGATTTGTAAGATTTGCGTACTCGACCTGTAGCTCAGTTGGTAGAGCGGTTGCCCTAGATTGGCATACAGACGCAGGTTCGAGTCCTGTCAGGCGAAGGAATTTTTCTTTATGTTCGATCTTTGTATTAATAATTATAATAAACTAGTGCAGTGATTTTACAAAAAAAACGAATGAATGTCATGATAAGAATATAATGATAATAAAATGTTACAAAAGGATTTGTTATTTTGAAATATTTTTATTCGTATTCTTAGAAAAAGTAAATGGTTATTATGTTGTGTCTATTTACGTGTCATACCAAAACATTGACAAGAATCCGATTTTTTATTAGCATCAAGTTTTGCTTGGAATAATGCGTATCAATATCTCAAAAAAGCAAAAAAAAGACTTGCTCACCGGATCACCTTGCAACCGCAAAATGAAATAAATAAACCACACTTAATAAAAATGCGTGGGCCTACTTAAACGTTCAAAACAAGAGCGAAATCTTTAATTTTGCCCGACATCAGTTATAATTTAAGAGATAAGTCGTAGTTGGTTGTCCTTTAATATATTCTAAAAACAGTTTTTGTTTCTATAGGATATTTTTTTAGAAACAAAAAATCTATTTTAATAAAAAAAAACGATTTCATACTTATCAATTTAAGGCCCCTACTCTGCAGTTAGATTTAGTATGTATCCATAATGTTTGTTGAATACAATTATATTTGAGTAAATAGCGAAATAGGACGAAACATAAACGATGATTAATTTCGATAAAAATTATAGGTGTTCTTCAAAGTACAAACTTTAAATATTTCTAAAGTAGTCTTAAATAGGGTAAACCACAAATTTTGTTCCATAACTATTAATAATTCATCAAATTTTACTTGCGTACAAAAATTAAAAATATGTAAATAGATCGCTTTAAACGGTGATAACCTTGTGCGTTAACAAAAGAAAGCGCTAGCGTAAACACCAGTCCGACGCAAAACACAGAATCGGGGGTGGGGGTCGTCCGCGTCGCTGAGGACGCTGGCACTATTGAACTTAACTACCAAAAACAGATCTAAAACGTCAGATAGTACATCAAAATCTTAGGCCGGCTACATACAGTCGGAATCCTGATTCGAAATTCCGTATAGAGGCTTGTGCTTTTGGAATTCTGCCCGGAAAGAGCCGTTCCGAACACAAGTCTTCCTTAGATTTTACAGGGCCGCAACACACAGTCGTAAATTCCGTACATATTTTCTCTTCGAGAACATCTGGAACCAATGCCACGCATCTCTCAGCTGAGCCCTGTTATTCCGAACGGAAATAAACGTATGTGTGTGTTATGTATATATTTATAGCAGTAGAGCTTCTTGTGAAAGAGTTTGTCCAGGTTAGTTTACTGCCACCTTACCTATTTCTGCCGCCAAGCAGTAATGTCAGCATTACTGTGTTCCGGTTTTGAAGGGTAAGAGTGCTGGTGAAATTACAGGCACTTGGGACTTGTCAACTTATACCTCAGGGTGACGGACGCAGTGGTAGTGCCCCTCAGATTTTGAAATTTATAGCTCTGAGTTGCACCGCAACTGTCATGTACAGGTGTGTCGTTCACCACCAAGCACACGACTTCTTCGTCCCGCCGTTGCCTGACGTCATAAAAAAATAGACTAATCGCGTTTGTCCACTGCATCCGATTAGTATTCGTTCTGAATCCTAGACTATACAAATCTAGAAAAGATCTTTGCGATTTAAAGCTCTGAGTGACGCTGCAGCTGTTTGGCTAGGCGTGCAGCTTACCATCAGGCGCACGACTTGTTCGTCCCGTCACTTCATATTATAAAAAAAAGAAACGAAGTATGTAGATAGTCTAAATGTGAACTCGAAAGTCTGCCTGAAGTTCAGCGTAAATCGAATTAAAAACAAATCCAACGCTGTAGTAATTCAGACTCTACAAGAGCAAGATGAACATACGTGTTGCTATTAAAATCATAATTTTCCTTTATCACAATGTCGGGCAAACAATAAAAATTCAATGCTCGGTCGTAGTAGAACCAGTTCACATTCCAAATATTTCTTAAATTAATTTGCAAATAATTGTAATTTCTTGAAACGTTTGGTATTTTTCTATTCATGAATGTGCATTAGTGTATTTATAACATAAAAAAAATATTTTGATCAATATCTCAATTTATATAAAAAAATATTGAAGTCGTTAATATGGACTCGCTTATTACCTAAGTTTAATTTCCTGACCACGTAATTCCCTAAATGAAAGCAAGAACCTTTTATCGCGGATATTGTTAAGGAAGCATTAAAAAGTTGTATTGATTACGCATTCGCAAAACACGTGTAACCATGAGAATCAGTTACGGACCTAACACACGACACGAACTTTCGGGTTTTACGCCTTTGTTTTAAAATGCGGAAATAATTTTATTACATATTAAAAAAGAAAAGCTTTACCGGTAATATGTAGGTTAATTTGACAAAACTCAAAGTTTATTTAGCATTTAGGGGTTATAAAACAATAGAAAAAAATTCAAGGCTACTGCAAAACATGTATTTAAAGTAATACAAAAAAACAGATGACCGGAAAAATGCGACGGTAATGTTAAGGCCGCTGATGTATATTACAATCCGTTTGTATATTTTCAAAACCAGTTTTGTGTTCGTTACAACAAAAATTAAAAAAGTACGCCACTCTCGCAGGCAACCAATAGACACGTTGACGAGATTCGAACACATTTGTGAGCAATGCACAAAACATTCAACAGTCGTAAAATTTGCTCGTTTAAATTGAACAGGCGGCGCACTACTATTCATATGATTTTCTTTTATTCTTTATTGTTTTGTTATTTTTGACGATTTTTTCTTTAAATTTCAGGGTCTAGTCTCCGGATGGTGGAACGACTACAACTTGTCATGTCAACCAGTGGACTATTCTGACAGTCCTAAAGCTCGTAGAGTAAGTTATTTTTTTTAATATTAATATACGAATCACCCATCTTAGAAAAAAAACCGTGTATTATTGATTTTCATCTTATAAAATATAGGTATATAATTCTTTAAAACGACGCTTGCTTCTCACATATTCCATTTTTTATATCTCCATATGCAGTTATTATTATTATGATAACTTAAAGTCACACATATACAAAAAAATCCATGCAAATGTAAAAAAGCCGTGGTAGCCTCATTAGGCTGCCATTGGTCAAATCATTTGTTTGACCTACCGCCTGTCAAGCAGAGATCGTGGGTTCGAATTCAGGCTCGCGACTCTGAGATTTTCGGAACTTATGTGCGAAATTTAGTTTGAAATTTACCATGAGCTTTTCGGTGCGTCTTAAAAACATCTCGAGGAAACCTACACGTCGATGAAGGTTCACACCCTGGAAAAACGTGTCTAGTTACCAACCCGCATTGGGCCATTGTGTGGGAATATGGCCTATCCCCTCGGGATTATGATGATGATATATTATCCTACGTATACACGTACCTATTTCTTTTTAATACGAATCAACGGATACAAAAAAAACATTTTCCAAGGATTCAATCGGTTAAGGCTTTACTATAAAGTTTATTATGTAACCAATTAAACTTCTTCAGTTACCATTGTTACGCACACTAATCTCGTCATCATCACCATCAATCTTTTCCATTGATGTAATTGATATTGTTTATACGTTTTCCGTAAACAAAGTCAGACAAGTGGTCTTCGACGACGAAGTAACAAAACGTCTTTTAAATTGCAAGGTTGGAGAAAGGTGTTCCGGGATCCTTGTTCATGAGTGAAAATGATTAATCGACTGTAGATAAATTTAATGCCCACTGACGGGAATCTCGGTTATTTTTTTCCAAAATTCCCACTAAACAATGTAGGAGGTACCCTACTACATATTATGACATTTTTCTCAAAAAGTCACTAAAATCAGTAATTTGAAACAAGTATTACACTTTATGTGTAATACTTTTTTCAAATTGCTAATTTCACTATGTTGTATTAAATATTAACTGTGTTAAATTATGTATAGCAACTACATCGATATGACAGAAATAGAGACGAAATGTCATTTAATTTGTTTGAAAACTATTCTGCCAAATCATTACGGTGACAACTGCGCTCCGATTGGCCCACAGAATTCGAAACAATTAACGGGTACGTCACTTGTTTCACTTCAAATCGACCAGTTTAACTTGAGTTTTGCTATAATGGACGAAAATTGAAAAATTACATATTTAGTTACCGATGAAATGTGATTGCGTTTGTTTTCTATTTAGATGTTTTGCTGTTTTTCTCACACCACCGAATGGAACAGCCCCCTATAGTTAGAGATATCTTTATTACAATAAATACATAATATACGGAGACGTACACACAGATCAGTTGTAGGTGCTGTAATATTTCAGATTTCTAATTTGTGATTTCAAATTAGAAAACAAGGGTTGATATTTTAAAATGATATAAGGCCCATTTACTTTTACTTACTGATGAGTTGCCAGGGATCGATGACCCTTATTTCGTCTCTATTTCTGGTTATATATGCAATGGACATCATACGCACAGAACGGAAATGATATTGCATACATATATCTAAGATGGAATCTAATATATAGGTATGATCAATATCGTACCTAAATTGAAGAAGCCATTTTGTTTGAAATTCCTTTTTATTTTCGTAACTTAAATTTTGAAAGCTTAACTTTGAAAGATTTAAATTAATACTCAAATATAAAACATAAAAATTACAGATGGCAGCAGCAGTGTGGTGGTACTTTATGGCGAAGATAATCGAGCTGCTGGATACGGTGTTCTTCGTACTAAGGAAGAAGAACAGACAGATTTCCTCACTCCACCTTTACCACCACTTCATGATGCCCATTTGTGCTTGGATAGGAACGAAATTCTTGCCAGGTATGACCTTGTATGTCTAGTTGGTGGCTTATTGTGATTGTTTTCAACAGTCCCGTATTTGACCTGGCATATTGAATTGTCCCTGGTATTAAACAGCACTTATCGTGAGTTTAGTGTTCATTACCGCTAACGACTATTTGTCAAATATTTGAGAAATTCATAAGCCCATAGCACTTATACTCATGGGAAAAAGTATATAGATTAGATATGTATGATCATATAACTATACAAACTCTAGATACAGTATGTTTCGAGTAATCCTTCACAGTATTATGGTAGTGTAGAATACTCAGAATACTTTAGCGTGTTATTTTAGGAATTATTTGAGGAAATACTGAATTACAGGAAAGGTACACTGAATTTTTTGAAAATAGGAAGTTTCTAACAGCTTCCCGTTACCTCTCTTGTTTTTTACATTTTCGTGAACTATAAGTTAAAACAAAGAATAAGCAAAGTGAAGAAGTCATCTGATTTTCATGGATTTAGTAGCAGTAGGACTTCTTGTGAAAGAGTTCGTCTTAGGTAGTACTGCCACCTTGCCTATTTCTGTCGCCAAGCAGTAATGTCAGCAATACTGCGTTCCGATTTTGAAGAGCAAGGTGGCTGGTGAAACAGACACATGGGACTTGTCAACTTATGTCTCGGGGTGATGGGTGCAGTGCCCCTCAGATCTTTGCGATTTAAAGAGCTGAGTGACACTGCAACTGTTGTGGACAGGAGTGTAGCTTACGCATCAGGCACACGACTTGTTCGTCCTGTCACTTAATATTATAAAAAAATACACACACAAAGACAAAGCGTTATATAAAATACTAAATTAGTGTTTACAATCTGACCTCACGCCTGTACAAAAAGCTGCATGCGGATAGCATGAAGGGCTGTTTATTTTTCTACTATCACGACTAATTATTTTTCCAGAAAGATTCTGACATTCCGTATTAATATAGTTATTTCCGTCTTTTGTGTAACAATGATCATTAAATTTTCCAGGCGGCCACGGCACTCTACTCGGCGTTATCAATTCGTTCATCCACATTATCATGTACACGTATTACCTTGTCTCCGGACTCGGGCCTCAATACCAGAAGTACCTCTGGTGGAAGAGGCATCTTACTACTATGCAACTGGTACGTTACTTTTTTTTTTTTTTTTTTTTCTAATATATTAATTATTCAATGTTTCAAAGTAAGGTCTAATTCATACTTAACGGGGCCAACTGCAGCCAACACAGACTCGTATATATGATATATTAAGTATTTATGTTGGGCTTATTTTAAAACCTATACTAACCACGTAAAACATTCTTAAAAAAGAAACCGCAAAGTCCAAAAGGAATTACTCTACTTTTTGACAAAGTGAGCATTATTTTCTGCTAGTAATTCTTATGAGTATACAATTAGCACCTAGAACATGGACACGTCTTTTAGTTACATACATTTAACTACCTCTGTGGCCGAACGGTTACCATGCCGAACTGCCACGCAGAGGTCTCCGGTTTGATTCCCGGACCGGGAGAAATATTTGTATGGCCTGCATTTCTTTCTCTCGTGAGTTTGGGTGTGATTTGGGGTTGTCTATGTGTGTGTCCATGGCACACGCGCTACAGGGTTTCCCTAGTGCGGGGCTATGTTGAGAGTGTGCGTTATTATTTGGGGATGGGGATTATGTAATACAGAAAAATTAAAGTGTATAAAAATAGAGACGGGAAATTCTGCTTAAAAAAACGTTAAAACGTTGTACTTTTTTGAATAAGCGTTCTTATAAAATAACTTTTCACTTAATCTCTTTTTACTTTGAAGTTCACAAAGTGGTTAGAAAATCGTTTTATCCAGACTTTATGTTAAATAAAGATGGCAACATTAAATAACTAAAGATTTTCAAATAAGTACCTACTTTATTTGTACAACACAACTTTTATTTTTATTTAAAACTTTAATGTTCCCATTGACGAATTAATTTGTGTAGGTAACGTGAACTTGACATAAATTTTTTATGACATGTTGTAAAAATGTTTATTATTGAGTATTGAACTGAGCAACACTTGCAACTTATAACTATAAGCGTGCAGCAAACTTTTTAAAGTGCTTTTCGTTTAAATGCCCACCTGTATAGTATATAGATGTTTTCATACAAACAGTTCAATTTTACTCAAGTATGGATCTACCTTTAGTCAGTTATCCTTGTATATAGTAATTTTAATAAAACGCTCTGTCTATTTATTCTTATAAATACTACCTTTTCTTCAATTTATTCTAATTCAATATTCTTTATTACGTCATTAATTTACAAACGGTAGATTAATTAGTAACGTTATATTAGGGTCAGTAAAGTACAACGTCACCCTTCCGTATACGTAGTTCATAGCCCAAAATCGTTTTTAACAAATTGGTTTTGTTATAATTATTAATACAAAGATCGAGCACTCAGAAAAAAATCCTTCGATCCTGCCGGATTCGAATCGACGTCTTTAAGCATACCGTACCAGACGCTATACCAACTAAGCAGCAGGCTAAAAAGTCGTTAAAAAACCATAAAACAAAGACACGACAACAAGCACATAGAAAAATTCGTGAGATCCGCGGGTTCGTTCCGTTGCTTAGTTGGTATAGCGTCTAACACGGTATGCTAGAAGACGTAGGTTTAAATCCGGCCGGATCGAAGGAATTTTTTCTGAGTGTTCGATCTTTGTATTAATAATAATTATAACAAACTAGTGGAATAATTTCACATAAAATAATTGAATATTAATTCAATAAGAATTTAAAACTGTTTTGGTTAAATAAATGTCATCACTGCTGAGCGTGCCCTTCGTTTGTAATGAAAGACCCTTTAGGATTCTATCTATCTTCTACTGGCTTTAGGTTCCTCTTAAGAATAAGTCTAGATAGATAATATACGGTTACGTCTCTCTAACATGCATGTTTCTATAAATGCGAATTTACCATGAGCCTTTCGGTGATGAAAAACTTCATGGTGAAAACTGCACGTCAAAGAAGGTTCACAATGAAGTCCCCAACCCGTATTGGACTAGCATGGCGAGAAATGGCCTAAACTCTCGCATGAGAGGAGACTCTACTCAGCAGTGGGCCGAACAAATAGGTTATAATATGATGAGTGTTCAAAGTAATGTTCCTGACCGTTATTCTGATATATATACTCATAGAAACTCAAAGAAATTTGTAGGACTCCTTGTGAAAGAATTCGTCCAGGGAAGTACTGCCACCTTACCTATTTCTGCCAATAAGCAGCAAGTAATGTCAGCATTATAGTGTTCCCGTTTTGAAGGGTAAGGGTGCTGGTAAAATTACAAGCACATGGAATTTGTCAACTTTTGTCGCAGGGTGAGGGGCGCAGTGGCAGTGCCCCTCAGATTTTGAAATTTATAGCTCTGAGTTGCACTGCAACTGTCATGTATAGGCGTGTCGTTCACCACCAGGCACACGACTTATTCGTCCCGTCGTTGCCTGACGTCATAAAAAAATAGACTAATCGCGTTTGTCCACTGCATCCGATTAGTATTCGTTCTGAATCCTAGACTATGCAAAACTAGAAACGATCTTTGCGATTTAACGCTCTGAGTGACGCTGCAGTTGCTTGGGTAGGCGTGTAGCTTACGATCAGGCGCACGACTTGTTCGTCTCGTCACTTCATATTATAAAAAAAAATAAACGAAGTATGTAGACACTCTAAATGTCAAATCGAAAGTCAGCCTGAAATGTGTAACTCATTTTCCTAAAAAAATCAAACGATATGACTGGTTTGACTCCATTCCGAAATCCACTCACAGTATCATTTACTGGCGCCTTAATATTACGTTTACATTTAACAATGTAATTTATATTTCCAGATCCAGTTCTGCATAATCTTCTACCACAACTTTAGCGTCATGTTCTACGACTGTAACTACCCTAAGTTCATTAACTTCCTGCTTTCGTTGAATGCTGGTCTCTTCTTATACATGTTTGGGAACTTTTACGTCCAAAACTACATCAAGAACAACAACAGTAAGAAAAATGACGACATCAGCAGCATTACGAAAAGTAAAGATACTACAACCGAAAAATCGAAAGACTGTTAGTATTTTTTTTATAATTTATACACTTGTACTTAATAAACGCAAACTATTGTGATTTTTTGGTTAAGTAGAATAAGTTAAGTTAAGTAGTGTGTTTCGGATATTAGGATAATTATGTACTTACTGGTAATGTGATAAATGATTAAATGTATAGATACTTTTTATGTTTGATATTTTTTTTTTTTTTCATAAATGTAATACAATGGGATATAATTATTTCTTTACAAAAAATACAGACGTAAGAAAAACATGAAAAAATAAGGTACGAGACGAGAAGTCTGTGACTTTGAGAAGAAGAAAAAAACTTTTTTAAATTACGGTTTATTTTTCTACTTAATCACAATTTAACTCTATACACCGTGACCAGCGATATCCCGTCCTCTTCATCCCACCATAATTTTTCTTTGTTTATCTGAAAAATAAATCTACACTACTATATACTATAACTATAAAATAATAAAATAAGCCTAATAAACAATGGATAACGAGGGGTGTGGCAATAGTTCGTATAATAATTTGACAAGTTTTTGAAATTCTGATTGCAGATCAGAAACGGAATACTCGAAAAATTCTGTTTTTTCCATATTCAAAAAATATATCAACCGCAACTTTTTTATTTTCACCCCAATGTAAAAAAAAGGTAACGTCAGTTGCTTAACTGACGTTACCTTTTTTTAAATTCGAGAAATTTAAATAAAATTTAATTTAGAACTCCTTACTAAGCAGTAAGGAGTTCTAAATTAAGAAATAAAAATAAATTCAGAAAAAGTTTTTATTTAACCTTAACCGCCCTCGTACAATATGGCCGGGTTTGAAGCCAAAATTTCAAAATAACATTGGATGCTGAAGAAGAGTTTTTGATGTTCTGCTTTCATGTTCATTTATTTCATGACTTGGACCCATAGTGTCAGTTATAATGTCACTAAAAAATCAGTGTTATATTTTACACAATTAAACTTTACATAGTTATTTTATTTTGTTCAGTTAAACCTAGTGCAAGCATCTTCCTTTCGGACTGTCGGTTCCACTCTTGGTTTCACTAGTGAATCCAGTAAGATGTTGATAATACTTATGTCTACTCTGCACTACATAACATGAGTGAAACTATTAGGATTTTTAAATACTTTTATCTCTACTCCTGTTGTAAATATACTGGCAATACAACACTTGAAATATAGATTGCTGTCATAATTATTCTTCATACGATTATTGTCACAGTGTCGCAAGCATGCGTTAGCGATGCCATTTTTTTGCGGAAAAACTCTACCTTTCTACATTCGTGCACCGAGCCCCTATACTTCTTACTGAAATTGTCAGTTAAATAGGTACCTAGGGTTCTAATTTTTTGCTTGTCAACCTGGTTTATTCCCTCTAGTTCTATGTACTCAGTTCCACAGGGACAATTGTAACACAAAAGGTCAATGCATGGAGCTAGTGGGAATAAATCCTTTGTATGTTCAGCACACGAAATTTACTTTAAAGAGGAAACCTTTCTGAAACCACGAACAAAAAACCTTCATCACTTTAGATGGCATGTATTTGCATCATGAATAGGCATTGCAGATACCAGTGCTGTAGGTAAGTAGAAAGACGCTCTAATAACGTTTCCTTTAGATGAAATAAGGCAGCTTAGGATCCCAAAGACTCTACTGACCTGCTACATTGAAAAAGGTTTGAGCTGCTGCCAATTTTGTACCTACTTACCTAAATAATGTGCTCTTTCTCAACTTTCATAGATTTCTCATAGATGGCGCTACGGCTAAAAAGTCGTTGAAAACCAAATACAAAGATCCGACAATAAGCACGTAGAAAAATTCGTGAAGTCCGCTGGTTTATTCCGTGGCTTAGTTGGCATAGCGCCTTGCTGGAACTCGTCGGTTTGAATACGGCTGGATCGAAGGAGTTTTTTCTAAGTGTTCGATCTTCGTATTAATAATTTTATAACAAACTAGTGGAGTGATTACACAAAAAATAATTGAATATCAATTCAATAGAAATTTAATATGCTCCATCATTAATCGTTACTTATAATGGAACTGATATGTAGCATCTCGACGTTACAGTCGATATAATGACCAAAAAGTCTGCTATTTTGTACTCAACGATACTTTAATAAATGACTAGCTGATCTGGACCATGGGAAAGATAAACCTATTGGCCAGACCAGTCTTACCATCAGTTTGGTCAACGGGAAACACTGGTGTATTCATCTGCCACTCTTCACCAACGGCAATTTTTTGTAGGGACTGAGTAATGGTATGTTTAATTTTCTTTTAAACTGGAAGAGCTCCTTCTTGGGAGGTGACTCTACACGTCATAAGTGACGTCACTCACCTAATCATAGTCGACTGATGAACAAAAAACTTCACAATGAATTTAGTAATCAAAATTCCCGCGTACGACAAACTAAAAGAATTTTCGTTCTCAGGTTAAACGCTAACTTACACTCATGGTTGTGATGGCATGTATTTAGATTATCATTTTAAATTTGCAAAAGTAGCAGGCAAAAAATATGATGATCGTCTTTCTTAATGATTGATCCTTCTTTTCTGAGACATAAAGTAAATAAATTCAATGTATATCAGTGGTGACACGTGAAAATTGTAGTTAATAAAGTTGGAGTTAAACATAAAACACTTCCCTTTAGGAAAAGTGGCACCTTGCCAACAGGTAAACACAACTTATTAGCATACAAGTACTAGTATACTTCATTTCGCTGATTAACTTATTCTATACATAAAATTCAGTGTAAAATATAGTATTCGATAATACGTGGAAAATTTTAGGCAAGCCGGTGAAAATCGAGTTATATGGATGCTTCGCCAATGATGTGTATTTTCATCTGTTCTGAGCTAATGTTTAATTTGTACCAATTAACTTTTGATAGTTTCATGTTGAGCAAAAAAACTAAGACAAATGAACATCAAAAAACCTGAAACCATATTCGGAAACGCAAGCAAATTCGCTTCTACGTTTTTATATACTAACCTAACCTACTGAATGGACGGCGCAACCAAGATTTGACCTATATAAAAAAAGAGGATAAAATATTATTTTTGACTATCAAATATTAACTTAGTATGATTAAATATAATGATAGTGTTACCTTGAATGCTGTTAATTTATAATTTATCCGTAGATCAACTAACATAGTTGGAACCAGTGAGCATAAATAATACTAGAGACGCAATGTCCTACAAACAGTTGTTTAAAATGTGGCACCACTTTGCAAGTTCAAAGACTAGTTTTGAAACTAATTAAAATTTTAAAGAACAATATATTTGTGTCGGTTTTTCTAACGTGAAACTTATTATGTCGAAATGAAATACTCGTAATGAATTAAGGGATACGACCAATGTTACCGGTTTAGAAATAATTTAACCTAATTTCTTATAGCCTCGCTGGTGGAAAAAGACAGTGAAGATAGGAATCAGAAATGAAATGAACGAGTGCGTGAAATATACTTGAAAATATATGAACTTACCCTTAAGTCCTATTGCGTCTATTGTTTACAAGTATAATATTATTGGTCGGAACAGTTAATACATATCAAATGTAAAAAATAGCGTTTATTTAAAACAGTGCACATTTACAATATATCTTTGAGGATCAAACAATGCATCCCTATTGTAATGTGCACTATTTTCGCTTCTGCAATAAGAGCTTAATCAGGCCGAATAGTCTGGTTGAAAATTCGGGTATACACACCTGGCCAAATATTCGATATCCTGTCCGAGGCCGAATATGCTATTCGTTGCAACTATAAGTTAAAATAAATTCTGTAAATGAGAAATGTGACCAAATGTCAAGTTACAAGGAGCAAACCCTATAACTAGTATAACTCCTAACCCACTTGCTTACTCTATATTCTCAATGGAGTCTGCTCTGTTTGATACGAAGTGTAATAAGGTTACCAATGAAATGAAAAGTATGTTGATTTTCAATTTTAATAACAGTAGTAAAGTAAGTAGGTATGGAACCGTGTCTGGTACCACCCAAATAACGCAAATCATTTCAACGAACAAAATCAAAGTTCAGTCGCGAATGGCATTATAATTGTATAGGCAAGAATAATTATTGGAAGGTATATCAATTAAATTTATTAAAAAAAAAAAATCACTTGAAATATAGAAAGAGTCCCTAATAGGACAAAAAGCTACTTAAAGAAATTAGCGCAATTGCTGAAAAGAACAACATACCTGAAAAACAAATCTTCGAAAATTATTTATTATAAAAGTTCAAAAGAAAAATAAGTAATGCACGATTTTAGTAGATGATGCAGTATGGGCTGCATTTGCACCGCTGGTGCTGCGGTATGACGTTACTCCCGCCGTAAAATACGCCGTGAAATTACAGGCACATGTCAACTTATGTCTCAGGGCGACGGGCGCAATGGCAGTGCCCCTGATCTTTGTGATTTAAAGCAATGAGTGGTACTGCAATTGTTATAAACAGGCGTGTCACTTATCACCAAGTGGGCGACTTGTTCGTCCCGTCACTTAGTCTCATAAATAAAACACGCTTTATATCATAAAAAAAACAAGTTGATAAGTGCCATTAAATTCACCATCACCTGTACCTACCCCTCAAAACCTGGTCTCCCACGTGATTGCGAATGCCGATGGTGCGAAGACGGATGCGCGAAAACTATAATATGCGAGGTCTTATTTTCACAAATGGTCACTTGCGTGAAAGTTTAAAAGTGCGATGGTTCATTTGCGCGAATGACGATAGCATAAAGACCTTTTTGCGAACGCTGGAATTCGCGAAATCCTACGATGGTTCGTTTGCTTCATGCAAGTTTTAGTTGAGATTGAAATAGTCTGGAATTTTCCCTTCATTTACATAGGAAGGGAAGTTGATAATTTGTAACATTTTTGTTTCAATTAATCAAACATTTCAATATAATTTTGATCAATGAAACAAAACAAATATAAATCAAATTATAGCTTTCGTGCAAGCATCTTCACACCATCGTTATTCGCGTAATCGGCATTCGCAATCACGCGGGAGATCCTTGAAAAGCAGAACACAGGAGCGTTTAC